TTTATTCAAATAACATAATTTTAAAATATATTTTCATAATTTTTTTCTCAATCCAACACATTAACATTTTTTCTATTATTTTGTATTAATTGTTTAAGGGTACTAAATTTATGTTATTTAAAAATAATTAAATATATTTAATAAATTTATTGTTTGGCACACATGTTATAAGTAGTACATTTACCCATAAAGTTAGTGATTAATATAAAAATTAGTAAAATTTTTTTTGTATGCAAAAATTATGAATCAAACTCAGTACCTATGATATTTGTATGTTTGGATTAAAGGAAATAAAAGGAAAAGGAAAAAATTCCCCTTACTTAGTTTTCTTTTTTTAATTTAATTATTTATTCAAATGAGAGAAAGGGAAAAGTAAAAATATATATAATTTTACTAATAAACTATTTAATTAATAATTAAAAATTGATATAAATTATATTCATATAAACTTATTATGATTCTGAACAATTTTTAAACCCTCCTCTCCCCTCCTCCCCCCGGCCCACACCTAAAAGTCTGGACCCTGAATTGAAGTATTCTTTTCTCCCACTGTTGCACTTTATTATCAAGTTAATATAACAAGGATGATTTGTAGATCCATCAATAACAAACTTTCCAATATCTTCTCTCCTCTCGTTTCACTAATTTAGCGATTAGATTAATAAGAACATAGGGTCAATTAATCTGTTGCATTATGGAGATGCTAATTTTTTAAACTTTTGGCCATGATTTTTAATTAGTATTTTTATCTAATTAGTTTTAATTTTATTTTTTGTCTTTAATAATATTAAATAATTATTATATTTTTATTTTTACATTAATTTACCATAAAAATATATTAGTTTAATAAATAAAATTTGTTAATTAAGCAAAAAGATTAAAATTTTTTTGTACTTTATTTAAAACAAATATATTTTTTTCTTTATTAAAAATAAAAATTAGTATATAATTACACTATTATCATTTATTTATTTATTTATTATTATTTTTATAAAATTAATAATTCTAATAATAAAAATATAAAAAATATATATTTAATTATTTTTAAATAGGCCCTTGTTAATAATTTAATTTTAAACAATAATAGTTAATTACTATCCATTTTTTGCTACTTGCTTTCTGTTATTTGACACTGGCTATTTGCTAATCATCACATGTTATTTGCTAACCATTATCTGTTATATATTATCCACTATCTGTTAAATTTTAATTGTTATACTAAATATGTCCTAATTTGAAGCCCGTAAAGGATAAAAGAGAAGTTTTTCCAACATATGTTTCTACATTTACAAAAATTGAATTGAAGATTTAATTATATTTAAGAGAAATTAAATTTTTTTTATTCAAATCAACAAATTACCGATATTATACTGCCTCTAGAATCAATAATAAAATTATAAATATTATATAAAAATCTTATTTTACAATTTAAATTGTAAAATAAAAATTATTTAACGAGAAAAGAACCTCTAATATCAACCACTTAACTTTTATTAAATAATTAATATTTTACTATTTAAATAATTTCAAAATATAAAACATTTTTTCCACGTTAAATTGACTAACATTCTTTGTACAACCACACGAGTTCGGAATGGTGGCTGACTGGTGTTAGGTAGTAATAGTGTAATACACCAATGTGTTCCAGAATCGTCTGGCTCGCCATTCCTCGGTGCCAAACTGGGCCCATATTGATATCCGGAGGACAAGTTGAAGTTAGCAACAACCTGACTCGAAAATTTTTGGTCCAGGCCGACAGTCAAAAGAGAACAGAAGTTGTCTGTCCGAACTTTCAAGCAGGCTGTGGCTAATTCGCATGATTCCACGTCACCAAAACAGCCGCCCACGCAATGACAATCACCAATTTGTTAAGTAAAGGGGGTAATGAAGGGCGTACATTTGCTTTTTACAAAATTTTTTACGATTTTTATGTGTAATTAAATTAAATTAATTTAATATTTTTATTAAAATTTATTTATTTATTTATATTTAATAATATTATATTTTATATAATTAATAAATTAGTTAGATATATATAATATACATGAATATAAATTATTATTTAATTGTTAGTTTTTAAAATAATTAATTAAAATATGATGTTTTTAGAAACGTTCCTAAAAAATATGTTATGCAAAATACTTTTTCCTTAAATGATATATATAGTTTTAAGAAAAACTTTTAGAGAAAAGTGTTGCTAAATCATTTTGTCATAAATAATTAATGAACATGTGAATAATGTTCACATATATATATTATGTTGTTTAATTAATTTAAAAAACAAATAAAAATTTAACCGAATTACTATCTATTAATTGAAAATTATTGATTTAAAATTAATGTTAGGTGTTCAGATTTTTACAATATGCCAAAAAGTTAAACTTCATGGTATACAAAAAAATATATTATTTTAGAGGAATTATAATTTATTTTACTATAACTAAAAGGATCTTTGGAAAGTTAAATAGTAATTTCTTTTGTCTGAAAAATATTTTAATTGTCAAATCTCAAAAAGATAAAAAAAAAAAGGATATTAATATTCATTAATCAAACTTTATAAGAATTAAACGAAAAAACAACTTAAACCATGTTGCATATTGAAAGAATAAAACAATATTTGATTTTGACATTAAAAAA